TATATTAAGGATCCTATTCGTTCCTCTTTTCTTAGGAAATAAGTTTCTAATACCTCAACTACTTGAATTTTTTTTTATACGTACAGTATTTTTTTGCATTTCATGAAAAACAAGGAAAACTTTTCTCAGTATGTTGGAGTTTCTTAGCCAAAATTCAGCATAAAGCTGAAAATCTCAATACAACGACGTGTAAAACGTTTTTGTTATCACACACACTGTATCCTTCACATCTCTCTGTTTACAAAATTAAATCCCTGTATCCAGGTACATGGAAACGTAAGATGCCTTTGTTAATTTGTGCACTTATACTCTAGAGATAATAAATGCAAAACATAAATGATAGTATCGATAAAGAGTCGGCAATAATGCAAAATTAATTCTATCAAGATTTTACATTAACCCTTTCTTTAACTTTATCTATCATCTACCTAATTTTTTATTACCTGTAAGATATTTCTGAAATCTCATCAATTTTGAGTGTTGTAGTCATTAGTTTTAACTTTTTTATGATAATAAATTTATATTTGTGCTACAGTACAACATACGGATACTTTTTCTATGTTTGAGACCCCACAAAGTTTTGACAGGAATGTTTCCTGCACTCAAAAATGCATTACCCTTTCTAAATATTCGAACGTGATCATTTTCTATGATGTAACTTAACTAATGAGCACTGTTCACAAGATACTATCATGTATCGCGAGGCCGTCAACAACAACGGTTAGAGAGAGAAAACCATGGCTAAAAGAAGAATACCGCTTAACTTGACAATTCAACGCCTTTGCAGCATTTTATATAACGCAAGCTGATAGTTTTGATTTTTCCCAATTCTGCATGGGAGCGCCGAAATGTCTAATTCTGTGATACCTATATAAAAAATTGCATATCTAATAACAAAATTAGAAAAATGGCGAAGATTTTTTACAAAATCTATCCCTGGTAAAAATTGGCGATAGGAGCTGCGTTTCAAAATACCATAGGCGTTCTTATAGCCGACTAAAGAAGGCTATTGAAAATCATGTAGCTGGCTGTAGAAAGCGGACCAAATCATATAGCCGGGCTAAACGAAGCTATAAAAAAGTGTACAGTCGGGCTATAGTTCCTATTGCCGGGCTTTATACTTTATCGCCATTTGCTATAAAAGGCTATAAGAGAGTGTGTAGAAATTCGTGTGCTTTGGAAATCATTAAGTTTGATACGGAGCTACCTTAATATTTACAGAACACACATTATATTTTCCTTTAAAACTTTTTTTTTCATCAATTAAAATGAAAATAATCCGTACAGAGTGTGCTAACATTTCAAAATCATGAGTTGAAAAACGCTGACTCCGCAAGATTAAATATTAGAGCCTAACACAAAGCGGAGCGGCGACACACTGGCGCCTACAAACCTAACAGGAATACTTCACGCATTGCGCAATGCGTGAAGTATCCTTGTTAGGTTTGTAGGCGCCAATGAGCGTTGAGCGAGTTGAGCGTGATGAGTTTGTAGATAGGCGGTATTCTTGCTCAGCCATTGAAGTGCAAATAAAACAGTTTATATTTTCCCTCTAAAGTAGATATCAAGATTAAGTATTTTGCGTAAATTTATCTCAACCGGCTTTCGGATTCCTCATATCGGGATAATTAGGGATTTCATAGAGGAATGAGGTGGCTAACATCATAAAGAAGACAAAATGATTTGTCATGTTAGGGAAAGCTTGTCACAGTGCAAACCCCATGAAAAATAAAACCATTTTACTCATTTTTCCCATCTGCTATCTAGCCAATCGTTGACGTGTGTCGTAAGCTTCCACGTAGTGTGGTGACTTAAACCACGTCTTTCAGGGAGTCACATACTTTCAATCATTAACTACCTCATCCGTGATAACCTTCATTTGCACTGAGAGCCCAAATCCGAAGATACAAGTTTTTTTTTCATATATTTTTTGGTAGAAACTCTTAAGAGAGTGTTCTGAAGGGACATCCGTGGTTCAGGACGGATGCGATCCCGATGGGCGAAACTGTGAGGGATCCTGAGAAACCCTCCACTCGTGTCTCGACTGTGGTGGAAGCCTTTACTTTCGGCACATCAACATTAAACCGTTGACTTACCCATATGGTTGATGTTTAGCAACGTGTTGGCAGTTTCATTTTGCAACCAAGCCGAAGTCTGGAAATCTTGTTTGGCTCATGACGTCACCCGAAGCTCATCATCCACCATGTTGGTAGGTCATAGGCCGAAAAAAGAGCGATGACTGTTGCTCCCTCATAATTGTCCATAAGGCATTGTTGAATCCCCGAAAGTAAAAGCCTCCACCTGTCGCCAAGGGGCCAGTGGAGGGTCTCTTGTCTCCTCTCTAATGACCTCCCCTCAGACCCTCCTTGATAAGGTGCCCTTCTAGTCCCCCCTCAAAATGTTCCTGGTTTCGCGCTCGAATTTTGATTATCACAGCCATTTGTTCAATTCAAGTACCTATCACCACTAGTTTGTCTCAGATAAACAGTGGACATAGAGCGTTGTCGATTGCGATGAGAAGCGATGAGGTGTAAGATAAACATGGCGACAGGCACTAGGGTCAAACACACGAAGATGATGTCAGAGGCCGTGACGATATTGACGTCCGTGAGGTACTTGTCTTTGAAACCGGGCCGAGGAGTCGCCCGATTTACGACCTGAGCATTCTTTGCCTGGAACTCGGAGAGTCGGATCAGATATGGCTTGGTGCAGTAGGTGTTCTCGGCCCCCAGGAGGGTGAAGTTGGAGCCACTGATGTTCGTTTCGCTGCAAATCCAGTCCAGGTCCGCGTCGCAGGCCAAAGGGTTGTAACTGATGTCCAAGCGTAAGGTGTACGCCACATTCAAGGCGAAGTCGTCCGCGCGTAATGTGCTCAGGCCCGTTCTCTGCAGACTGAAAAAGTGTAAAGAAGAATGATGATAAATTAGAAGAGAAATCGATCGTTCACTGGCGAATCCAGCAAAATTGACAACATTTTTTTTCTCCATTTAAACCTATGAAAATGTATCGATTCTTGAAGAGGCCAGGTGGTCCGACAAGAATCGATTATTTAACGTAGATTTAAATGGAGGGAACCCGGTGTTGCCAAATTGCTGGGTCCGCTACTGTGATCGTTTGAGAAACATTTGAAGCGGTCATTCTCAAAAAGACATCGAATCGAAGTCGATTGACTGTAGCTTTTAACAGGCCCGGGTGGGCCTGGTGGTTTCCAGTCATGGTGATGGGTCTTATTAATGGATGAGAGCTGTGTGGCTCCATTCATTTAAAAAACAATTAAATTCGCCAAAAATGCATTGTATAGTAAAGTGAGCAAACGAGAAATTTGGACTCACCTGATAGTCCGCAAGTTTGGGAAACACACAAAAAACGGTCGTATTAGTTCAACTAAATCTGGACTGCCATCTAAGCTTAGGATTTTGATATATTTCTTGTCCTGCAGCGTCGCTCTCAGAGAAACTGCTGGTTCAATTTTTTTCGATAGCGCAATATTGTGCAGTCGAAGTACTTCCAGCTTGTTAAGGGGCCGGATGAAATCAATATCCTTCAATTTGTAGTGATCTGTGAATGCAAATACACCATAGTTTTTAACGAAAGTGTGGGAATAGATATTACTCTTCTGTCTTCACTCGATTTTCTTTTTATTCGTAATTTTCTGTTTTAATTGTTTTTATAGAAATAATTTGGACTGTATTTTACAATTGGGAACTACAATTTCTGGCTCATACATGAAAACACTCAGCCTCTCAGGAAATCTTATTGCACATATGTTGTATCTATAATGAGCTGAAAATTGTAGTTTCTAATTGCAAAAGGAGGGTCCATTTGAACGTTTAAAAGTCAAAAGGAACTATGTTAAACCTACACCCTAGACTTATAGTTCCTGTTAGTATGGATACTTCAAATTGACTTTTAAAAACATGAGATTCCCTTAGGGTAGTTCGCTCTTCTTGAATAAAGCAATTTGCATTTCGCAGGCTTACCTAAATTCAACTCGACTAGAGATCTCAGTTTTTTAAGATCTTGAGCCGTCCGATCGGTGAGATCAGTATTATCATCATTCCGTTTAGCGGATAGCGTAAGATTCTGTAAGCGCATCAAGGCGGATAAATCACGCGATAATTCAATCGGCAGCTGTGGGCCTTCGTCCCCAATGCACAAAGTTTTGATGTTCGCAAACGATACTCTCCTGAAAACTTTCGAATTTCGCAAATAATTCCCGCATAAATTTAAGTACGATAGCTTCTCCTGCAAATAAAATTTCTCTGGTTGGTCACTGTTCTAACAAAGACCATCGTCGACCCTAAAATATCCTTTCTGCGGTAAAACTCAACGATATTTCATAGACTCATATCGATGGCGTGATCTATTAAGCTGGGATGAATTTGGAAAAATTCGTTTCAATTTAGAATTTTTATCGGAGAAAACGGTTAATTATCCTGAGGAAAAAGTAGAATTTATGAACAAATTCTTGGAAGTACTGAGTGAATTTCAACTTTGAAAAACTTCGTGTGAAAAAATAAACCTGCAGACTCCATGACCGGATTCACCTACTTGCCGCTCATGGGCCGCCTGTATTTTGCCGCCCTCATCTCATTCATTTTGAAACATCAATAAAAACCATCAAGTGAACGTGCCGGAGGGAGAAGGGTGCATAAGACGCGTTCACGCGTGTTGGACACATTTTTTGCGTAAGCCCTGTCAAAACTACAAGCAAAAGTTCACGGAACTTCGCGCAAAAGTTCAGTTCCGTAAACAAATCTCTGTGGGGACAAGGCCTTTCATTTGTAAGAAATGAACTAAAAAATTAAGAAAGAACAAACAGAAATAACTTCCGCCGCCGTGCCGCGCTGACTACACTGTGTTTGGCGCAATGCGTGAAGTATTCATGTAGTCTTGTAGGCACTTAACGTTTCACGCCGCGCCGACCGCTGTTGACCATACTGTGTTTTTACGCAATGCGTGAAGTATTCATGCAGTCTCGTAGGCGTTAATATGTGTTACACGCTGACCGCCGCGCGCCGCGGGCTTCGCCTTTTCATCTCAAGTCCTCGTCATCATTTCTCTTTGCGCCGCGCCGCTCCAGGCCAAATTACGTGTTTGTTTTCTCTCTAATAACTCAACTAATTAAAGGTGCGCAGTCTTTTCTATCACCGAAATACGACAAAATTAGAAATTAATGAACTCTCAGGAAATGAGAAATTTTGTCAGGTTTTCTTGTTTGTAATTTTTTTCTGAATCCGATTTTTTTGTACCTGCATTTAAAAAAATTGCAAAATTTGCCGCCCCCTAATTTTGCCGCCGTGGGCCGCGGCCCATGCGGCCATGCGGCCCATGTGGCCTTAATCCGGCCCTGGCAGACTATTTATCTCATCGACAGTCGACACTCTTTTGAACAGAACGCGATGGATATGGTTTTTACCAACGTCAAAAATCCGAATAAAATCAATATTTTTCTTTATATTTATTAATATTTCTCAAATTTTACCGGAAGGATGATGTCCATTGAAGACGTCGTTTGATAACAAAGATTGTTCGATAGGTCCAAGTGGCTCAGACTTGAAGGTAACCCATGCGGCACCAAAGTGATTTTATTGTCGCTTAATACCAATTTTTCTAAATTCCGAAGATGTTTGAACACATCAGGACTTAACTTGGTGATCTCGTTGTGATCCAAATAAATCTCTCGAAGTGGTAGATTATACCTGTTCAAAAAATTAATATTATCAGGGAGTCTTAACGATAACTAACTCAAGATTAGTGAAAATCTCCTCATTCAGAAAATTTTGGTGAACTTGCTTAGTTGCTAATCCTTTTAGCTTTCAGACGAGGAGGTGTCCCCAACTATTTATTTATTTATTTATTTATTTATTGAAATTGTAATGTGTGTTTACGTATGTTCATTTACAACGCTATGAATTTCTTGTCGCGCTTAGTTTTAATGAAAGAAATCCATCAATATAATATCTTCATATTTTTAGTGGTTTTTCTGTGCCAGGAGAGAAATAATACTCAAAAATATTTTTGTTTGAACGTCAATCACTTTTGCGTTGCACAGAACATGAGTAGACAGTAGTGCTCGTTGAAAAATATGTGTCATTATTTCAGCAGTTTTCCAAAGTCTCATTTTGTGTCATAAATATTTTTCGATGGCGAAAGTAGAAAAAAATACGTATCTCCTTCACAGCTTTCCAAAATCTACAATTATGTTTCGATTCTCAATTTTAAAATAGATAAAAATGAGTGGAGGTTTACAACATTACAGTTTCAGGTATAAATTTTCCGACTTCAGCCATCGATAGGTACACAGAGAGATCTATCCGGAGGATGTCTATGATATTTCGGTGAGTGGCGGGAAAAATTCTCTGCGTGAGCTCTTATTTCTTTGAATTATGATTTATTGATACCACCAAGTGTTTATGAGGGGTACCCCTTTTAGTTTCCTTCCTTCCGTTATCGACGTATGAACGGCATGGCACCCATTGGAATTGGGGAATAGCGTGTGCACTTCAGGGGCTATGATACAACTATTGCTACTCTCCCGAGCGAAATTGCGGCTCGCTCATTTGAAGGCGTTTTTTGCCGTGGCCGTGTGTGTTGATCCTCTCACTTCCAACGATTGAGGTCTTATCCTCAGGAAATTTGTGATGTGTCCGCGGTATGAACACAGATTTTACCTTCACGATACTAAGTAATAACATCGGTGCCTTCGAGAACCTTTTTAGCTAAGGGCTTGCCAGGCACAGTGTGAATTATTTAGGTGTTTCATCACGCGGGCTTTAATTAA